CCAAGCATGGCCAGACGCGTGGAGAATGAAGACCCCTTAGTGGCTGATTTTATTGACTTTGATTTAAATTCTTGGAATGTAGCAAAGCTGGAACAATACTTTGACGCTGGTGAAGTGCTGCAAATTCGCAGGGTACCTGTTAATACTAGAAGTTTCGATGGATGGTTCTGGATTAGGGACTTCCGTGGGGCTTATATGGTGAAAAGTGCTTACAGATGTTTGATGGGAGATGCTTCTGTCGTGTCCTCTTTTTCAAACTGGGGAAGATTTTGGCGGATTCCGGTGGCCCCGAAAGTTCTTGTTTGCTTGTGGAGGGCCATTCGAGGTATCTTGCCCACGCGGGATGCTCTCATTTCTAAGAGAGTGGAGGTGGATGGGGGCTGCCCTCTCTGTGGAGGAGCTCTCGAAACATTTGATCATATTTTTTTGTTTTGTCCTTTTGCAGATTCGGTTTGGAGGCTCATGGGCAAAGGAGGTAATAGAATCTCTTTTATCTCTTTCCAAAACTGGTTCCAAGTTCGGTGTCAGAATGACACTTTATTGGAGCTGCGTACCGTCGCTTTGACTTGCTGGGCAATTTGGAAAGCACGTAACATTGCCATTTGGGATCATAAGGCACTGCATCCAGGAGAGCTCAAGAATATGGTGTCGTCCATGGAAGCCCAATGGTCAAACAAGACTATTGCAGAGCGGGGGCGTACTCCACAGCGGCACGAGGTAAGTTTGCGGGCAGAGGCATACAAGTGTTTTTTTGATGCTGCGACATCAGTTTCGGAGGAGTCCATCTCCTTCGGCTGTGTCCTTTTTGATCCAGGAGGTGCCTTTGTGGCAGCGGCAAATGGAGGAAAACTTGGGCCTCTAGATCCTCTTTTGGCGGAAGCTCTCGCTTGCAAGGAAACATTATCTTGGTTGTGGAATCGAGGTATTCGTGACGTTGAAATTCTTTCTGATTGTGAGGTTTTAGTGGGGGCTATCAAGCAAGGAAGGGCCTTTGAGTGCTACTCTTATCTAGGTCTCATCCTTGATGATTGTGTTGAATTATTATCTTCGTTTACATCTATTGGCTTTCATTTTATTCGTAGGAATCATAATTGTATTGCTCATACTCTTGCACGGTGTGCTACGCCCCATTTTGTCTCATGGAGCAGTACACCACCCAGCTGTATTGCACATCTAATTTCTTCTTAATGAAGTTTTGTTTTTCTGTCAAAAAAAACCTTCATATTTTGACTTTTTTTATTAAATTTTGACACTCTTTGATTAAAATTAAGCATTATTTAAATAAATAAATATCATAAAATTTGATACGCCACAACTATATTCTAATTAAATAAACTTTTTAATTCTCATAATTGATGGTCAAAGGGTGTCAATAATTGACTAAAAAATCAAAAGAAGAAGATTTTTTTGATCGAAGTAGTAGAAGTAAGCGTACATTACATAAACTTCAAAGACAATATATTCATGTGTGGATACTCCTACACACAAGTCAAAATATAAATCTCAAGGGAAGAAAATTAAAGTTGAAGATTTTCATTCAAACAGTTGAAGAGTTAAAAGGTTCAGCGTGAAGATTTTGTTTATAGGGTCAATTGTTTAAGATGGATGAAAATATGTTCTCCCACACACACCGTCTACTACTCCCAGGTTCCTAAGATTTCTTAGGCTCTCTTAAGGAAAAAAATCGGTCTTAACAAGAATTACTAGTTAAAAGTTAAAGACTTTTTTTTACTAAATGCAGTAAAAATAACAATAAATGTTGTGTATATAAAGAAAAAATATACTCCGTAAATAAAAACAACTAAACTAAAGTACCCTAAGTGATACTATTTGAGAATTGTAACGATAATTTGATATTCAAATGTGTAAATATAGTATATCTGTTTTCTTTGTCCAAATATAAAGAAGTATGAGTAAAAATGCTTTTTAGACTTTAAATTTTATTTCTATGCTACTCATAACACTACACTTAAAATATTTGGGCCCTCTTTAACTTAAGAGGCTCGAGACCATCGCCCGCCCCGACCTCCCACAGCTCCGGCCATGACTGCTCCGATCCATTTAGAATCGTTGAAAGCACATTCTAAACGCCTTTAAAGATGGGAGAAAGACCAAAGTAGAACTAAAACATTGAAAATATACCAAAATAGGACTTCCATGTTTTAATTCTCAAAATAGGATTTAAGATGCATTTACATTACCAAACATGATAATGTACATTACCAAAAAGTATAGTTATGTGCACATGTACAGTGTCACATTACAACCACATTACCACAGTGCGAAATCCTATTTCGGAGAAAAAAAACATGAAAGTCTTATTTTTGTACTTTTGATTATGTTTTAGTCATATTTAGAGTGATTTCTATTTAAATATCTTTTGAGTTCGCAAATGTTGACTAATTGCTTTCATTTATGAGTTTAACGAGTTTGTAAGAGAGCAGAAATGAAAATCAGATCGATTTTTTTTATATTTTATTTGGTTCAGGAAGAAAATATTCGAGCGATAGAAGAAAATGAAAGGAAAAAAAATTACTTTCCATTTTGGCCAGGAAAGGGAGAAAAATAATACGGAGTAGAATTTAGGATGTGGTAAGGATAACTAGATTAAGCAATAAGACACTTAGGCTGAACCACATTAAAAGATTGAATCCAATCAATTAATTAGTTCAACTCAAGAGTTTATATACCGATTAATTTCCTCACACTTTTTCGGTGTGGGATGCTCTTTAACACTCCCCCTCAAGTGGACAACCGGGCCATTTTGAATCTAACTGGTTGACCACTGGCAAATGAACTCCCATTCCATTGACTTTTTTTTGAGCGCCAACACCTAAAGGACCACGAGCCGCTGGGTATGGACTTCCAGACGAGCAATCGTGTTAAACGGGCCACAGGCCGTTGGGTACATACTCCATACGGAACACTGGACTAAAGAAAAACGGGCCGCTAGGAATGAACGTCTAGACGGACACCTTGACAAACGAGGTGGGCCAAAACCTGCTTTGATACCATGATAAAATTTAGGATGGGGTAAGGATAACTGGATTGGGCAATAAGACACTTGGGCTGAACCACATTAAAAGATTGAATCCAATCGATTAGTTAGTTCAACTCAAGTGTTTATATACCGATTAATTTCCTCACACTTTTCTGATGTGGGATGCTCTTTAACAAAAAAAGAATTTTCCTTTCTTATCATTTCGAATTCTGTGAATCAAAAATAATGTAACATTATGTTTGGTTCAAGAAATATAAAAGGAAAATAAAAGAAAATAAGAAAAAACATTTTTTTTTGTTCGGTTAGAGACTAATGGAAGAAAAATATAATGAGAAAAGAGAATGGATTAAGAAAAAGGTAAATAAGTTTCTTTCTTTTAATCCACCCTGACAATATTGTATGGTTTCTCCAATGAATAAGATAATATTATGAAAAAACCTTCTCATTTAATTTTCTCTTTAACAAAGTTTAATATGTATAATTCATATTTTTTTCACCTTTAAACCAACCATTGTTAAACAATTTCACTTTCTAAGAAAAATGGCAAACTCAAACCAATTCGATAAGATGATTCTAGAGTAGAGGGGTTTAAATTTTGGATAAAACTATTTGTACAATTGTTAATAGACCAACACTTTGTATCAGTGTGAACCATTAAAATGTTGGCGTATACTTTTAGTGTAAGTTTGAGGTACAATTTTTAGTGTAAGTGTAGCATTGTTCTTAAATTTATTCACTTTATTTTCTTCCCTCACCATATTTCCATGCATACCAAACTAGTGTTAAAGAAGGTTAAAAATCTGGAAATAATCTTTTGTAGGACCCCATGGGGTCATGTTTTTCTTTCTTGAAATCTTTTGGCATGAGACATATTTTGTATGAAAGGGTCTTCAAATTTGTCACATGTCTCCTCTCTTTGCTGCCTAATTAAAAGAAGTTGCCAAAGAGTCAAATGGTCATTTTTAAAATGTGATTTGGGATCAAATTCTAAGATGACAATAAATTCTTCACACTAAATCTTTAGTTGGACAATCGTTGAGGATGTTTGTATAGAAAATAATAAAAGGAGACTCACATAACTTATCACTACATGCGTCTTAAAATTTTCTTCCCTGTTATTATTCACATGTTCAAATTTTAATCACTTTCTTTACTCATTTTTCATTAGCTATTTGACAAAATAATATAGTCATGTCACCTCTTTTTTGTATAAATTTTGAGGTAGTTTTTAAATATAGTCATGTCACCGGTGGGGGTACAAGGGTTGGTCCGGTGACGATGGTAACTACTCCGGTGGGGCAGCGGGCCCGTGGATTGATTCCTGGGTCCCGAGTTCGCACAGGTAAGTTGTGTTAGTTGTAAATTAGGATTGATTGATCATGCATAACGGTAATCGGTGGGCTTCTAATCCCTGATAGGCCGCCATTTGATTTGTATGTTGAACAATAATAAAATTGTGACTTGAATAAAAATAAATCTTATTGGTGATGATTGTGAATTATGATCAATACTCCGTATCTGAAATAGGCCACCTAGTTTAATTAGGCAGACCTGAATTAGAATGACTGATTGAATCACTAATAGGATATGTGATAGAATTTAGGATGAGTATGGACAACTGGATTAGGCAATAAGACACTTGGGTTGAACCACATTAAAAGATTGAATCCAATCGATTAGTTAGTTCAACTCAAGAGCTTATATACCGATTAATTTTCTCACACTTTTCCGATGTGGGATGTTCTTTAACACTCCCCCTCAAGCGGACAACCGGGCCATTTTGAATTTAACCGGTTGACCACTTGCAAATGAACTCCCATTTCCTTGACTTTTTTTTTGAGCGCCAACACATAAAGACCACGAGCCGCTGGGTATGGACTTCCAGACGAGCAATCGTGTTAAACAGGCCACAGGCCGTTGGGTACACACTCCATACGGACAACTGGGCTAAAGACAAACGGGCCGCTAGGAATGAACGTCTAGACGGACACCTTGACAAACGAGGTGGGCCAAAACCTGCTCTGATACCATGATAGAATTTAGGATGGGATATAGACAACTGGATTGGGTAATAAGACACTTGGATTGAACCACATTAAAAGATTGAATCCAATCTAAAGACTAACGAGCCGCTAGGAATGAACGTCTAGACGGACACCTTAAAAAACGAGGTGGGCCAAAACCTGCTCTGATACCATGATAGAATTTAGCATTGGGTAGGGATAACTGGATTGGGGCAATAAGACACTTGAGTTGAACCACATTAAAAGATTGAATCCAATCGATTAGTTAGTTCAACTCAAGAGCTTATATACCGATTAATTTCCTCACACTTTTCCGATGTGGGATGTTCTTTAACAATATGACTAGGGTTTAGGCCATTGCGGGGCGTCATCACATACCCGGTGGTCTTGGGTTAAAAACGTACATATGGGAGTCCATGAATTGTCCTGGCATTGCAGGGGGCTTGAACCTGCCCAGAGTGAATCTCCTTTGATTTTTCTAAGCTGGCCCTTTTATAGCATCGCTTGGGGTGCCACTACTCATAGGTGGATGATTTGCCTTAGCCATCATAGGTTAAGAGATGTGATTTGAATAAATGAACATGAATATTGTAAATCGTTTGAATATTATTATCACTAGACTTGTTTACATGATGATGATGATGAGGTATATGTTAATGTGGTACTTTTCTATGAGTTAATACTGGCGTTAGGTATATTCTCACTCGACTTTCTGCTGAGCGTGTAGTCGTTGTTGTTTTTTACTGCATGCAGGTAGGAACCTAGGATTGGATGAACAACTCGGAATAATAATAATAATAATAATAATAATAATAATAATAATAATAATAATAATAATAATAACAACAACAACAACAACAATAATAATAATAATAATTCTTGATTGAATCTGATCTGGTCTGATCTGATGTGATCTGATTAGATCTGATCTAATCTGATCTGATTTGATTGCATCTAATCTGATATGATATGATCTGATCTGATTAGATCTGATCTGGTCTCATCTAGTCTGATCTGATCTGATTTTTATAAGAATAAAAAAAAAGCAGGAAAAATAAATTGAACAGAACGGGGACTAAGTTTGAGATTCTGAGAGGCGGTAAGGATCATAACGTGTAGTACGGCTAGGATTGTTCTAATTATTTTGATATCGAGTTAAACTGGGGTGGCTCAATAGGTCT